AGGGCAGAGATCATAATCTGGCCCTGTTTGCGTCTCTGCTCCACGCCAAGATAACAGTCAGGTCTGTAGCAATGTTGCTTATACATTAGCTAAACAAGCCATTTTTCAGTTTCCATCAGAAACCAGAGCATTTTCACGTATCCTATTATAGCTGAGTAAGACCTGCTCTACTTAACACTAGCTTTTTGTAGTGGAAAATCTCCAGGAAACAAGCTGTTTAATGATGTTTTATCTGACTTGCACTCATTTCAAGCTAAAGTATTCCACCTGCCTTGAAAAGGCATCTTTCAGAGACCGAGTGCTTTCCTCCAGTCCTTGCTCTGCTCAAGGCTGCCATTTTCTGTATTTCATTTTTTGCCATCACCTCTCATTTTATCAGCCAATAATCTTCTTGGGCAACCGCTGCAAAGAGCACACTGTCAAACCTTTAGTATAAGCACTGCTAATCCCTGTTATTAGCTGCACCACACCTCAAGTCAGAACGAAACACTGGGCAGAACCACAGTGCAGGTACTGTCCCATTGCCAGTGCCTTCCCGTTACAAACAGTGCTAAGAACAGTGCTTCCCTCCAGAGCTGAACAGAGCCAGCAGAGCATCTCTACCGTTCCTTCCTTATCAGCCAAAGAAAGGATGCTACATTTCTGAATGGGCAGCCAAAATTACAATTTCGCTTTTAGTAATTTTGAGAGCTTTAGGTCAGTTGCAATTTAGGTCACAGCATACTGAAATACCAAGATGCAAACTTCGGCTGAAAGCTTTGTTGTACTCTCAGAGCTCTTTGCCTGTAAGAGCAAAGTTCATTAACTCATTAGCCGTGCCCTAGCAGGGAAGCAAGTGAGTATGAATTGCTCCCTACCAATGCTGTGGATCCTTGCTGTCCCCAGTCTGATGCTCTCCAGCCCCCAGGAGGCTGCTGAAAAAGACTCATGCTTCTCAAAGGAGGAACAGACAGTTTTGCTGTCATTCAGAGAGATCTCAGTAGAGCAGCGAGTCAATGGGAACCACATGAAGCTCAATGGAAAAATCAAAGTCCTGCTCCTGAAGAGGAATAACACTGCACACCAGTACAGCTGAGGGCCAACTAGTTGGAAAGCAGCTTGGCAATAAAGGGGCTGGGATCCTGGTGGGCAGCAAGTTGAACACGATCCAACAGCATGCCCTTGCAGCAATGGCCAGCACTCTCCTAGGCTGCAGTAAGAAGTACTGCCAGCAGGTCAAGGGATGCAATCCTTCAGTTCTTCCCTTCTACTGGACACTGGTGAGACCACAATTCAAGTGCTGTGTCTAACATTGGGTTTACCAGTAACATACCAAAGCATGTTTGCTGAAGGACTTCAATGACGTAAGGTATGGGAGTGCATAACCTACACGGACAGGCTGAGGGCTGGGACTGTTTGGCCTCAAAAGGAGAAAGCTCAGCTCAGGTGGGGACATCTTATCAATGTCAGGAAATACTGATGTGCAGAAATAAAGGTGACCAAGCCAGACTCTGTTCTCAAGCTATCTAGGGTTCAATGGAAAGATTAAAGAAAATATGATAAATGAAACAAAAGCCAGTGAAGGTGATCAGGCCCCAGAACAGGTTGTTCAGAGAGGTGATTGAACCTCCATCTCTGGAGATATCCAATATCAGCAGCCCTGAGTCCTGCTCTCGTTCACCAGAGGAGCTGGAGTACACGATCTCCAGAGATCCCTTCTGATGTCAACATTAGAGATTCTCATGAGTACAGAGCTTTTCATTTGAAGTCCATCAGTTTCTGCTCTCCAGATCACATCCATCTTGCAGATATTTCAGAGTTTCTTGCCACAGCACCCCTTCTCTGCTCAGTATTTTTAGCTCATTGTTTTGTATTTTGCCAGCTGAGAAACTGCAGTTTGTAATTTTACCTTCAGGTTCATATTTCTTCTTAAAAGTGAATACAATGTCCTGTTTATAATAATAAAATCACTAGTTGGCAGGATGACATCAAATGGAAAAAGAGAAAGCAACTGGAAAATTTAGAGCAAGCAATTTTGAGTGCCAAGTTTCACATTTGTAATAGTCCAGCAGAGGTCAACAGGCTCACTTGTTATTAGGCAAATGGTAAAGAAATAGATATCTTCAAGTTCTTCCATGTTTGACTATATAAACCATCTCCACTTGAACAGGCTCTAGTGCTTTCCAAAAGAGTGATGTTATACATTTTCCACAGTAACACCAACAATGGGAGACATGCAAAAGGCAGAACTGCTTTGCACAGAACGGCCTTTTTTCTCTCTCCAATATTTAGGTTTTCGTTTCCCACTCTGATCGGACTTTCCTGGCTTTAGTTTCTCGTCCCAGTTAAGAAGGAAACAAAAAGATATGAATGAAATTAGAAACATTTGGAACAAGGCGTAGAAATAAATAGCTTTTGTGTTTCTTAGATTCTTGGCTACACCTTTTCAAACGGACTCCTCCGGTGCTCTGTCTGCTGCATCTACCCCAGAGATTTGCATTTCCTGCTCTGCCCTGACCCTTTTCTGGGCACAGGGCTGTGTACCACTGAAACGCTGAGTAGAAAGCAAAGCAAACAAGGAAATGATGATTGCATGATAGAAAAGATGGGAGAATGGTTGAAACTTTGCACCCACCAAAATCTGTCTGTATAATGCTAATCCTCTGATGTTGCTCCAAAAACAAAAGATCGCTCCTCAAGCTTCAATGAAAAAATATCAATTTCCATCCCCCTGAATAATAGAAAGCACTCTGGTCCTGTTCGTATTAACACATTTAATGTCTCTGGAAGGGAAGTTTCTTCAACCACGAATTGTGATACTTTACAAAACATCATGCCCTCTGTAAAATACAATTGCAATAAGCAATGCTAGTACCTAACATTTGCCTAGTGCCTTTCATTAGCTTTCAGTGCTACTTACAAACAATTAAGCTGGGAGTGCTCATTAAATACTTGCCTCATTTCACAGTTAGATAAAATCATGCAGGTAAAAAAGCAGCTGTCCACGATGAAACTGCATGATTGGCAGAGAGTTGAATCTTGGATCGTCTCAGCCTTAAGTACTATAAAAATATTATGTAAAGCTTTCTTTGTGAGCCATTGCTGAAGAAACGAGAAGAAAAACCTCCTGGAAGCAATTCTGCACAGGCTGTCTAGGTGAGATCACAGCTGCAATCCAGACTACGTATGGCAAGAAGATGCTTTCTGTAAAACTGAAGTAGTTGCAGGAAGATAAGGAACACATTTACAAGATGGCATGGACAAGATATCTGTCCATCTCACTCAGCCTCAGCAGATGGGTTTGCCCAGGTCAGGTGCCTAGTTATAACCAAAAGTCTCGTGCTATCTTCGTGTTTAGACTACAGACTAGTTAGTCAGCAGTGTGCTAGTTGACATTAAAAGGATTAGTAAATTAAGCTCAAATAATTGTCTTAAAAACCTTGACTGTTAAATGTTTATATTTGAGAGGATCAAAAGGAAATCTTCTTTGTAGCGTGCACTATGGTCAGGAAGGGGCAGAGAGGGATTTAAATGGCTTAACTGCAAAACTGTTATCACCTTGATAAGTCCCAGTGCAATAATTCAGCAATAAAATCAAGAAATCCACTTGGAGCTTGTTTCCAAAAATGACTGTCTGACTGTAGACAAGTCAAGCTCTTTATTTGCTTGAAGGAACTTGGTCAGAAGAAGCAGAGAATGCTACTGAAATGTAGTCAAGAATATAAAAATAATCACTTTCCAGTGACTTCTCAACTGCAGGTTTCAGCATCTTTTGGTTTTTTTAAGCTAGTTGAAGTCTACAGTGTGGATCTGGTACCTGAGTGCTACCACAGGTCAAACAGAAGTGCAGTCCTCCCCCAAACTATCCCACTGTAGAGCAACTGAGAGCCAGTGAAGCTGAAGCAGCACGAAGGTCACAGGCTGCAGTGCAGGATTAAATCCAAAGTAACATCTGGAGTTGGAGCACAGATACAAATGGGTGCAGTTCATCAGCTTATCCCTCTCCAATTGCTAGCTTTCATGCCAGTAACAGACTAAGAGAGAGAGCAGCTTCTACTACTGCAGGTGGTATCTTGAAGAATCAGACTTGTGGGTCTGCTTCACCTCAGTGATAGGCAAGAAAGCAACAGCACACTGAGCCACTGAATCTGTTACCCACCACACAGTGAGACCTCCCAAGAGAGACAGGATGCTCAAGCACAACAGATGTGGGAGTGGAACACATCCTATCATCTTAGTAATACAAGTACTGTTTTGCTTTCATGCAGCTTCTTTCCTTTATTGCAAATCGAGGTCTCAAACTACTCTTCTTTTGTCTTTATATCTTTACTAGTGAAGTCTAGAAAGTTCTGCCTGCTACATTTAGGCAGACCACCAAGATCAGAATGTCTATCACCTAACAGACTGCAGAGCTCCCCAAAGCTGGTAGAAGGGAGCAACACAAAGTTGCAGGGATGAGCAACGTGAGTGGGTGGACAGCATGAAGCTGCCAGGCTACAGGGAGAGAATGCATTTGCCAGCTGCTAACCTGACCAAGAGCCGCCACAAACTCCCCATGACACCAGTTCTTCAAAGCAGAAGAACGCTGAGACTAGACAGGAAAACATAGGACAGTCTCTACCTGTGCTTAAGTTTCAAAGTAACAATGTCCAAGATAATTTGATCTGCCAAGCATTCAGAAAATCTCTGCAATAAAACTACCCTTAAAATACGTAATACATTCCAGACAAAAACATAAAGCTTTCAGATTAGGTGCCAAACACCAAATTTTCAGTTTTCAATAGTTCTTTTGAGAAAAAGCCTACTTTGCCTCACAAACACTTCTTCAAATAACTTGTCTTTTGGGTCTGTAGGCACTTTCAAAAGCAGTTTCTTTCTACATTAGCAAAGGTAACGTGTAACATGCTACCTGTAACAACATCAGAGCCTTTTCAGAATGCGATGAAATCAAAACAAAACAAAAACAAAGCAATGCTGCACCAACCTGAGGAGGAGCGACAGACCAGGCTTTTTGTCATTACCTTAAATCTCTCCTTTTGGCCATCTCTCCCGGTGAGATAACCCAAGGCAGGCTTTGGGGAAGGCATTCCAGGGCTTCAGGGGAAAAGTCAGAGAAATCCACGCCATACTCTGTCAGGATTCCTTCCGTTTCCGGCTCGATTTCCCCCGCCTGACCAAGACTTTTGGCCAACTGCCTGCAAAAAAAGACAGAAAGGGTTGCAAAAGCTTCTTCCCTTGAGATCCGCCTTCCTCCCCTTATTACTTTAAAAAGTGATTCAGCCCCACAACCTGAAACGGAAAGTAAGATCCCACCTGATCCTGGGCAGCTCTGCAGAAGACAGCTGAGCTGCTGGGATGCTCCGCACAGCTCTCTCCATCCCAGAGATACACACCTCCCTACCTGGGCAAACTGCTGCCCCATAAAGCAGAGGTGCAAAGAGCCCTTACTGCCTTTCTTACAAGGGCCTGCAAGAACAGATGTGCCCACAGATTGCCTCTCCATTCATTGCCCAGGCTCCCTTCAGAACCCATGTGCTCCTACTAGTTTGTTCCTCCTCTGCTGGCGACACAGATCTCAGAACCACGATCTAGAAGCAAATCATAGACAAGGGAACTTGTCCCACACGCTAATAGCCTTTGCTGCAGTAATCTGCACGTGTGGATGAGGCGGCTGCTCTATTACACTTAGAGCAAATTTCCATCTGTCCTACTGCAAACCCCATGGCACATTCGTTCAGAGCTCTGGTGTCAAACAAGTGCTTGGTTCCGGATGCAGTGCACCAAGTGGGGTTCCAAGGGAGGGGGGAATTGCTGTCTCCCTGTCTGCTTACAAATATTACAGGAGAATCAAAGTCCCCACAGTGCCTCTCCTCTCCTTTCTCATCCCTAGAATGCTCTATAGTACACAGAGGCAAATATACATATATATATATATATATATATATTATTTTTTAAATGAACTGCCATTAGGGTGAATGGAACATCACAGACAATAGAGATAACACTGCCGGTCCAAGAAAATTACAACTGAAATTAAGGCAAATCCATCAAAATATGACACAAAAGAGAGGGGTAATAACACAGTGCAAATACAGCCACTCTAATACGTGTTTTTCCACTGCATAAAATACACAATAACAGTATTGATCCTTCTGCTTTAATTCTAATGAGAGAGAACAGGCACTAATGGATTTTCAAAATCTGGGCCAAAGCAGCGTACTTGTCATTTGGACTAGCAAGATGCTCTCGGTGCTTCAAACGTGCCATAAACCCACAGAACAAACCCCATCCGTGCAGTGCAAGCAAGCCCATCTTCCTTATGGGAGCAGAGCTCCCTCTCCACAACGGGAAGGGCTGCGTAATAAACCTGTCACAGTGTGTAATACACTGAAAAGGATTGTGCGCCTCGTGGTGTGGTAAATTGTAGAGTTCACATTGCCTAGCTTTAAAATAAAAATGAAAACAAGGATAAAAGATATTTCCCTCCATTGTTTCAATTTTATGTGCAAACTCTATGGCAGAAATACGTGCGCATTTGGCATTGAGGCTTAATTCTCCACTTCTGCAGCTTGGTCCCAGTCTGATCTTTATTTTAATGTAAATAAACGAGGCATCAGTTTTATCTCCTCCTCTCTCAGCAGTAACAATAAACCAGAGAAATCACTACTTCATTTCCAGGATCTAATGTGCAGCTGGGAGACTTCACAGGGATGGGTCTATGGGTCTGCTGGCCCTCGGAATCTATGCTCAAACCTTGCACCCAACTCCATAAAGCACAGGAAGAAGTACCTTGACCCAGACAACTTCCCTGACCAGGTGGATAGACAGAAGTTTTAAAAAAGAAGAGGAAAAAGGACACGCTGCCCTACCAAAAAGAAAGGGCAAGAGCTTAAGTCTCGGGTGCCCCTTTCCTCAGAAGGGCAGCAAGCAGGAGGGTTGCTGGAGGGCCACACTATAAGTAATGGAAAGCACCTTTTAATGCCAGAGTGCTTTCCAGCTCAGTTTTGAAACCCATGTTTTCTTGATCCGTTTACTGAAATTAGATTAGGAACCATAAGGAGTTTACCCAGAGGTCTGATATAGGACTAATATTTTTTAATAGTAATTAACATTTGATTTACGGTGTTCCAGGGAACATTTCCCAAGTACCTTGAAACAAAAACTGTACAAGTGGCTTTAATTGGGGCCATGCTACAGTCACACAGACATGATGACTTGCATCAGAGCAAAATCTGACAGGACAGCATGTGATCAAAGGTAACGCATATAGGATCACCAATGGCCCCGGAGTAACAGCCAGGCTCACTCATGGGCTCTGCAGCCACCGAGGGTAGCAAGAGTAGTTCAAGAGGCTTATAAACAACAACAGGCACAGGGCCCAGCAGCGGTCACGGCATCTGTGGCACCCCAGGCTCGCATGTTTTTTCTTTCTCCAAATGTTAGAAGGTGAAAAATGAATCAGACGTTGCCTGTGACGTTGATGGGAGAGCATTAGAACAGCCTGGGGGGCTGCTTTAATGCCCTCGTGTTGACGTCGGGCCCAGGTAGCAGCAGCCAGGGAAAGCACTGATGGCAACGTGGTGCAGTCGGGTGTGGGGAGGCCAGCCATGGCTCCAAGCTCACTGAGCTGCTCCGAGCTGCCGACTCACCATGGCCTCATCTCCCACAACTGCATGCCTGAGGCAGTCACACTCCCGCTGCCATCTGCCCCTTCACAAGGATGCTGATCAAATCTATTCAGCCAGCCATTTCCACAAACGTACATTGGAACCCTCTCCATCCCCCAGACTCAGCCAAAACCATCCAGTGTTGTCAAAGGTTACATGATAAGAGCTCTCCAAAAAAGACCATGCATAATTACACAAGGCTTGTTTCTTTTAGAAAGCCAGGCAGGCTCCCAGATGAAGTCAGTAACTTCCCCAGGGACTTCATAGTCGTTCTCAGTCTCCCCCTAGAGCAGAGATACCCACAGCCATTCTATACAGAGGGTTTCTTTCAGCAGCAGCAGAATCACTGGATGGTTTGAGCTGGAAAGGTCCTAGTAAGGCCATATAGTTCCAACCCCCTGCCATGGGCAGGGACATCTCCCACCAGATCAGGCTGACCAAAATCCAATCCAGCCTGGCCTTGAGCTCCTCCAGGGACGGGGCAACTTTTTTCTGGGCAGCCTGTGCCCAGAACCTCACCATCCTCTGAGTAAAGTATTTCTTCCTTCTATCTAATTTAAACCATGCTGTTTTCATTTTAAAACACCATTACCCTTTATCCTGTCACAGTTTTTCCAATAGGCCCCTTTGAGTATGGGAAGGTTGCAGTGAGGTCTCCCCAGAGCCTTCTCTCCTCCAGGCTAAACAACCCCAGCTCTCTCAGCCCCTCTTCACAGCAGGAATGCTCCAGCCTCCTGAACACCCTCCACATCAGTAACTACACACCACTTTGATGAAAAACTACAAATGCAAAATTTCCTATTCTTTTTCAATAGTTTTATTCATCATCATACTGTGGTGGCAAAAAGTAAAGACTCCACCCTTAACCATCTCCAAACATGCAGGGATGCCTCAACTAATGCTCCAAACAGCCTTAGATTTCATCGCTGATAAGAGGTCTGCAGGAAACAACTGTTCACAGCAGTACTTGTAATAATGACCTGAAACAGGAGAATATTCTGTAGCTGTTTTGCTTTATCTGCGACCTGAAGCAGGTTCAGTGAAATGGCATTTCACTGCCACAGTAAAATCACATCACATGCAGAAAGGAGTACGGCAGCATGCATTCGCAGCATCACCAGTGAGATGTGGAGCTGTTGGGTCCTCCCTGCTCCTTCCAGCAGTCAGGGTGACACAAGGTGGCCTTCAGAGGGGACCGTGTCTCAGTGGTGACCACCAGGTGGCAATCACGACACAGAAACGCACCCCCTCCCCAAGGGGACCTCCAGGGGCTGCCGGGTTTCCTGCTAGGCAGGTGACCACTCTGGTTGACCAATGCCACCAGCAGGCCCTCAGCTGGGCCATCCCAGTGTGGTCCCCAGGAAGATCAGGACATCCTGTGAACTCCAAACACAGCACCAAGCTTCCCAAGGGAAAAGGAAAGCTGATGAAGGTGCACAACCAGCCTGCAGGAGTTCAACTGCATGACAAAAAGTGGCTGAAAACACGTTAAGACATCCAGAAGAAATTACTGTCAGCCTCACAGGGGGTTTTTTCCTTGTACTTCCAGCAGACTTGCGTGGTGCATTAAGAAGATCCACAGGTCTTCTGTCCAGACATCTTCAGAACGATGGCAGTTCTGCCAAAGGCGTATCATGAAGTCTGTGGACAGAAGGGGTGCACTGCCTCAGCAGGGACTATGCCTAGAGCTATGAGCAGCTTGTTTCCTCAACTCCCCTAGAGCAGGCTGTGGTGGAAAGAAGTATCTGAGGCCAAGCAGCATGACAGTGCCACAAGGGATGACAAGAGCAGGAAGGAAAACCTGACTGCTAGCTGTAAAACTCTATATAGCTGTAAAACTAATGGCCCCACATTAGCTGAGCCTGTGTTAAAGAAGATACAGACACAGAAGGATGTAGTGACAAGTCTCCAGTCAACAAAACCAAGGTTGGACATTCAGCTTCCTTTACTAGTCACCTGGCCAAGCAAGTTCAGAAAACCAAGCGTGCAGTGAGTTGCTGCTCAGCTGCTCATCTCTTTCAGGTGCAGGCTCAGCTAGCAAGATAGCCAGCTTATCAACGTGCTCCAAAAGAAACAGGAACTTTTGGGACTTTCAAGAGGTTTCCTTGAATTGCACTCTCTAAGCAAACATGTATTTATAGTTAAAAACAAAATGGGTCACAAGGTTTTACGCTCCCATCTCCACAAGGAACTTAATGAAGTGCAACTGAGTCGCAGAGGAAACGATTATGTATGAAGACAATCGTGGAAGTTTTCTTTCCTGACAACACCCTTTACACATCTTGGAAACTACCAAAATATCCAGATGAGAATATGCAATGCTGTCAGAAGCACAATTAAAGAAAAATGCATTAGCCCCCTCCCAAAAAAAGACATTAGCCCATCCTCCTAATTCGTTTTGGTTGTTTGGGACACGATACCAAGCAGCACAATCACCCTCCAGTCTTTTCTCTGTTGGAGTCAAAGACAAAAAAAACCTCTCCTGCCAACAAGCAACTTAGTCATAGTGAAGTTCAAAGGGAGGCCACTTCAGTTCACACACAACAGTTTAGCATTAAAATACAGAGTGACCCAACTGCTCATGTGTCTCTCAAGAAGCACATCTGAAACTTGCTGTTACAAAGCAGCCATAACTGATAATAAACTTTGGAAAATAGAAAAAAATCCACAGGGCAAAAGGGACTTCAGTTGCTTTTAGTTTTAGGGCTGACAGGTCTGTGCCAGCACATTTCAGAACAAAAGTTTTGATGCAAGTTTTCAGTTTTACAAGGAGTTTGAGCTGAGAACTCTAAAAACGTCCCAGTGCTCCATCAGAACAGGTCTGCAAGAGGAAGAGAAAGTGGCTTTATGCCCACCCAACTCCCACTACTGTACATATTCCAGACTACATCCAGATCCCAATCACCTTCAACATTTGGCCACATCGTTTCCATGTGTCAAAGCTACCTACTCTACATTACCAACTAAATGAGGACTACTCCATTTTTCCCAAGATGACTGAACAGATTTATCAGTGCCCACCACTACTTATTAAGGCCCACTCAATAGGAAACAGTGTGGTTGCTCCAGGTGGGTGCTTAGTGCACTGCAGCAGTTCCCAAGAAAAAACAAAAATGCTAAGGACTACAAGGTCTTCACCAGGGAGAGGTAAGATGAACTTGCAGTCTGGATCCAGCTCTTCACAGACCATGTGAACAACACTGGCTTAAAATCTTCACAATAACACCTCTGATTTGAACTCTGGGCAGCAATGGCCTTACAGTGCCTCCTAAAAAGCACAGTGTAACATCAATCTCATGTTTCAAATGTCAATGAATCCTTTTGTGATTTCTAGCATTCTTCCCTGAAGCAATGCAACTTTAAATATCGCAACAGTTGTGACTTCTTTCTACTTAAAAGAAAACCAAAGACGAGCCCCACAGCTACTGACCTTCATCCTCTGGCAGAAGTGAATTTGCTTACACACTTTGCACTTTTCTTACATTGGTAGATAACAGGCTGAAAGATGTCCAGTCTAGCACCCTGCAGTGCTTGTGCTGGTCGGGCTATGGACCCATGCGTGTTCTCTCTAGACTGTAAGCTATTTGAGCAAGGACTGCACACTCATTAATGCTGTGATATCTCAGCAAGTCAGAGCAAGCACCAAAAGACATTAATATTATATTGCCATGAGAGATAACTGGCAGTGAGCAGTCGTTAGCCTCATCTGAATTTCTCCACTAGGCCATAGGAGGTATGCAAGGCAAGTATCCTGTTAGTCACAGAATCACCTGAGTTGGAAGGGACCTCAAGGATCATGAATCTCCAACCTCCCTTCAACAGACAGGGCCATCAACCTCCACACTGAATATATGACCAGGCTGTTCAGGATCCCATCCAACCCAGCCTTGGTCACCTCCAGGGATGAGGCATCCACAACCTCCCTGGGCAGATAACAGATTCACATCCTTATTGCATACATCAAAATAAGTGAATCTCATTTATCTCTGCTTTCACTAGCAGCCACATACCCTGATGCAAAGTTGCTGTCTTCTTTCCAATCCACTATGCGACAAATGAAGAGCATATTTGAATAGTCCTCGGGTCTGGCCACAAAGTCTGAGGGGCAATCAGCCAAAGACACGTAGGCCCTGGGCACTCTATGGTCCACAGGTGAGAACATGGCACACTTCTTGAAGAGCTCACTGTTCTTGTCTGCCAGAAGCTTGATGAAGCCTGTAGCTGCTCGAGAATGCTTCTTTTCCAAAATATAGACCACCTGCAAGAGGCAAGGTTTTCTACAGTCAATACCTTCAGATAAACTTATTTTCTGCAGCAGAATAGGGGTACGCAGAGGCTCAGCAGAATACCTTGGAAAAATCACAACGCCTATATCCTATATTTTCGTATGCATATGTTTTTGTGTGCATTTTCAAACTGAGCACCTATTTACAGTGTATTTTCCTTGCCATCTTGCTGATGGCTATAGATAAGCTATGTGCCTTCCAAGTGCTAGCTCTCTACAGCGATTTTCTTGATTACAGAACAAAACCAGACATGAAGCAGATGCTTCCAAATGCAGGGAATTAGCCACAACATACAAGCAACTCCTGTTAGATCTTTCATTTGTATCCTCAGCCTGCGATTTTGACATTCAGTGCAGAACAGGCCAGTTCAAAAACGGTGCCTCTGGCAGATCCAATGCTAACCACAGGAAAGGATGTGCTGTGGGGAATTTGGCAGTTCTCTCCTCTCTGTGCTTTCTGAAGTTAGGGGTTATTTTACCTTTATACAAGACTGCTTTGAAAAGAATAATAAATTACAATATCATTAAATAATTGTTCCAGAGAGGTGTTCATCCAGGCTGTATTTTTGTAGACAATAATAAATCAACTGGATAACAGAAATACTATAGCTGATTTCCTAAACTTATACAGACAAGTCCTTCCTGAAGGTTTCAGAAGCTGCACCTCTGTGTGATTCTGAACACTGCAACTGCCACGCTGGAGGAGACCAGTGGGCAGCACAGCCCAGAACGGGGACCAGAATGAGAGGCTGCACAGGAAAGCACAAGACGTGGAAAAGACCTGACCCAGCCTGCCCCACCAGTCTCTTGACATCCGAAGATTGGCTCAAGTCTTGAACCAACAGCACTAACAGCCCTTCCAAAGTCTTTAAGTATTAATTCTGACAACTCTGGATATTCTGACACACATACTAGTATCCAATTCTTTTTTTTTCTTTTTTTTTTTTCTGATTCTTGTTAAATAATTTTGCCTAACAAAGAAAGGGAATTTAAACTAGCATAATTGGAAAAAATAACAAAACACTTGAGTTTTATCAGATCGGACAATTACTCTCTTTGAAACAGGGAATGTTTATTCAAAGATCAACAAATGGAGGCTAGAGGGAAGCCAATGCTGGTCCTCCTTCAGCCTCTGGAAGCACACTCATGCTGCCACTTTCTGTGGACTTACCTTAGCTGTCCTCTGAAGGAACTTATCTGGGAGGAGCCTGGGATCGTTCACCTTGGGTACCTCCTCTGGTTTTGTTCTGTGCACAGCACCCATCCCACCAGCTTTCACTGCAACAAACGAGAAACACAGCCGTTACTGTAGCATGTTTCCATCAAAATACAATGTGAGGTGCATGAATTAGACTTATCTGAAAGGAGTGCTGATGCATCTGAAAGTGCTTGCATAGCCAAGTATTAAGCAACTTTATTTCTCCAGACTACAAAAGAAAGCAGGTATATGCTCACTTACCATGGAGATCTGCTGAAAAACAACAAAAGTCAAAACAAATCCAAACTTTACAAGTACAATTTTATCAGCCATAATAAACAAAATGGTGCAAAACACACTATTTCTTAAATACTAAGAAATACATTAATTTCCTGGCACTACTTAGTTGGAGTCATTAACATTATATAAACAGTCCTCTAAGTACATACATTCATTTAATATTTAATTTCCTTAACAAATGTTATGCAAGGTTATAAAACACATGTTTATCTTAGACATTGAAACCACATCTACTAAGCTGACCCTCTTCGGCTGCAGACCAGGATTATTAAAGAGCCTTATGAAAGTAATTGCTGCGTATGACAAACAGCCACGCTCCTTCCCCTTGAAACTCCTTCACCAGATGCCAAGAGTATTTAAATCAACTGACAGCTAAATTCCAGTTCACAATTTTCACAATGAAAGTATCTGTTACAGGCAGCCAGCACGCCAATGCTTTTTGTATTTACAAACAGCCAACGCAATCCTTGCCATCGAGACGGCTTGGAGCAGTGCCCTGCGAGCCAAATGGATGCTGAGAGCCCGTGGCTACTGGTCTGACAGCAGCTTTAGGACGTGGTTGTTGTCTGAAGGAGGCTCGGGAGAGACCTTATTGCTCTCTACAACTCCCTGGAAAGAGGTTGTGGCGAGGTGGGGTTCGGCCTCTTCTTGCACGTAACAGCGACAGGATGACAGAGAATGGCCTCAGGTTGTGCCAGGGGACATTCAGCTTGGATATTCGGGAAAAATGCTTCCCATAAAGAGTGGTGATGCACTGGCACAGGCTGCCCAGGGAGCGGTGGAGTCACCGTTCCTGCAGGTGTTCAAGAACCATGAGAATGTGGCAGAGACGTGGTCAGTGGGCAGCATTGGTGGTAGTTGTATTACATGATCCTAGATGATCCTACAGGTCTTTTCCAACCGCAGTGACTCTATGATTCTCCCTCACTTTTGCTGGATGAACTCGGGTTTGCCACAACAAGGGTTACTGAGGGATAAATCCCCCATGGAACCTCACGGTTATGAACAAGTTGGGAAAAAACCCGCTGGGATCATTTTACACAGTTTAAAAACTGGAGATATTCAAGTTACACACCTCATTGCTTTTCTCCTCTAAGATCGCTGTCAGCTAGAGGCTGGACCAGGAAATTGGTCAGCAAAGAATAAAAGCAAGGAGCCATTCTTAAAAATTTTCAAGCCATCAGTTAATAGGAAAGGGTTTATGGTGTGCCAACCGTAAAGACAACTTGGACAAAGAACGGGACGGTCCGAGACAAGGAAAAATTGGCAGGCAGGGAGGGCAAGGGGAGCTTGGTAGCCTTCCAAGGCCAGCTGTGCAGGCACACCTGACGCAAGCTCAGTGCTTTGCTGGAGTGAACTCTGCCACCACACAGCACATGCTGGATGGAAGAGGAACCAGACCTACACGTGTCTGGAAAAAGCAAGATTTGCACTCATTGCTTCCCCAGCATAGCAGAATGACAGCACTGACCTGAGGCACATCAGACAAGAATGAGAAGAGCACCATGCTCGACGAATACGTCCCTATTAACGCTGACTTATTTCCACTTTTCCTTCCAATTCCAATTTCTCTAAAAAGCTGCTTGCATTTTTTCACAAAAGCAGGAAGAAAAGGAGCCAGCAGCAGCGTCCTTGGAAGGTATCACATGCACACATAGAAAAGCACAGAACCACCAGCAGGGGCTGTCACTTAGAGCCCAGCAAATGGATCACCAGCAGGTCCTTCACCTGGGACAAAGAACAGGCAGGACTGCTGTATTTCTGCCTATGCAAACCCAGGACAGGTACCAGAAGGCATAAGAAGTCCCACTCTGACACATGGCAGAGCCTGCCTCTTGCCTTCACAGCCAAAATCAACCAGGGGCCTTTGGCTGGCTGGAGAATACCTCCTTCCTCAGGGGTCTCTCCAGTTACAGCAGCCCTCCCAAAAAATCCTGGAGTTAGTAGAAACTCCATCAGAAGGAGGGTCAGATCTGCAACATTAACAGAAAAGAAAGAAGAAAGTAAATCCCAGACATCTACTTATTCCTCCCACCTTTCTCTAGTATCTAAAAGGCCAACACATACATTCACTGTTGGACAACACTCTTGAAACCAAGGACAGGAAAACAGATGCACAAGAAGCTCTGTACTCTTGGGGCTAAAAGATGTGGACTTTTTGATAGCTCATAGCTGCTTCCTTTGAAGTTAACATTCTGCTGATAACAGGGCTACATCTAATGCTCAAAGGTCTACCACCAGCAGCACAGCTTCCTTACAACAAAGGCAGTGAGAAATCTGTCACCCGAGTCCCCTAAACACAGTCCAACAGTACTGCACATCTGCCTTCATAGAATCACACAGGTTGGAAAAGACTTCTAGGATCATCTAGTCCAACCATCCACCTACCACCAGCACTGCCCACGTCCCTCAGTGCCACATCTCTATGCTTCTTGAAGACCTCCAGGGATGGTGACCCTCCCACCTCCCTGGGCAGCCTGTGCCAATGCATCACCACTCTTCCTGAGAAGTACTTTTCCCAAATACCCAACCTGAACTTGCCCTGGCACACCTTGAGGCCATTCTTTCTATTCACTGTCTTTCTATTGTCTTTCTATTCATTGAAGCTGGAATTTGATGGGTGGGTGGAGAGAGGAACCGGGGCTCCTGCAGAAGCTGGTGGTCTAGAAGATCTGAGCTGGGAGACAGCTCACAGAGCGAAGCAGAGCCATAGAGGCAATTCTAAAGGAGAGTTAACTTGTGAGAGAAGCAGATTTTTGAGCAGGGGAGGTGGGAAGAAACTCCTTGCATTATGCCAAACTGAAAATGAATTATTCTGACCCCTTTACTGTAGTGGTTATCCAATGACCATTCAATATTTCCACCCTGGGCAAAGACATGTTTTCTGAGAAAGATTTACTATGTTAGCTTGGGCAATACTTCATAAGCTTATCTTACAGTGAAAACACACTTCAGCAACTAGGATCCAGTGAAACTGCATTATAATCTCAGTGTTTTCCTTTCAGCGATTATCTGACAAACCAAAACTGTAACAGTCTTACTTTAAAAAAATACATATTAGGCACTAGATACAAAAAGCAAGTCAAATTAGTTATGTTATTACCAAAAAAATTGATCCAGGACGTTGTGGAATTTGCCTCCCTCTGTCACAGATGGATAGAGGCAGCTTCAGAGCACAGTCAGATTTGCCTGACAGCATTCCTAGCTCAAACTTTTCCCTTTTTTTTTTTTTTTAAGCTCCCCCAAATTTCCTTCTACAATTAAATTACCAGGCATTAAGACATGGCCAAAGTGGACCAAAAGTCATCAGACTAGAGTTCTGATTACTTGTGACAGATCCAAAGTTATTTTCACTATGGTCACTGTGGAAATTTGCAATTCTGTCCAAAAAGAATACAATTAAAGATGCAATATCCACTTGCAAATGAAAATATATCACAGTTTCAGATCTCAAAAACAACTCACTGGAAAAAAAGAAAAGCCTTCTCTCTCTGGATGGAAAGAAACAAGTTTTTAAAGAAATATAGTTTAATATTTGCTACTTCAGCTAGAAGAACCATCTGCTTGAGAAGTTAGCTGGCTTACATGGGCATACCTACACAGCTCATCAGAAGGCATCCGTGGTAGGAAGCTTGTAAAAAATGAAAATGGGACTCTTCAGTTTGGTGCTCAGGTAGCAGAACATCTGTAAGCTTTCCAAGAGCAAAGCTTATTACTTCCTAACCGAGTGGCAAAATTCAGCTTTTCTGCTGTCTGTTTCAATAAGCAGTTTTCGGCTTATTTTGTTTTAGTGCCACAAAACAGGGAAATCGATGTTTAAAAAAGAACACACAATTGATGATAAATATCACCTCAAGGGCTGTGTGCTGCGCCACGCTGAAACAACGCGGTTTTGGAAGTTCTGCCCACTAACACAAGAGACACATGGAAAAGGGAAACTCCCCAAAACCAAAATCGAGTACATTTAAATGCATGCACACATGCTGGATCACAGCCATTGTGCTCTGATCCTAATGTCAGGGATAACAGATAAGGGATAAGAAAGAAACACATTTCTGCTAATGGTGCTGCACGGTTCTTCAACATTCAGTCACTGGTATTCATTCACTGGTGCTCATTTGCACGGAGCGGATTTCTACTCCAGAATGCAAAACCACTGGTACTAACCAATACTTCACATCCATACCTGGTCTTACACATCACCAAGTAAACCAAAATGCAATTTTCTGAGGGTCATAGGAATCTGGTTTCTTAGAAAGATCTGTTCCTGGTCAAACGATTTCAGCTTCTAGAAACTTGTTTTGGTTCCTAGAGAGGTAGACAACATAACTTGATGTGAAATCCAGTCACTACTTGGGCGGTGAAAGGGCCAATTCACTTGTCACCAGACACAATCCAGAACTAGAACTTACATTAAATAAGCTACGAGTCTTGCTTGGGAAAAAGCCACACAAGAAGCAACATTTTGCAAGTATTTATACCTACACACATAGAGCTTTCCACTTGTGATGGAGGGAGCACACAGCTGGCTGTGACAACACTGCTAAGATAACAGCTTTGGAATTCAACAAGTGCAGCTTGTCCAAATTCAGCCTAACTGCTGTGTGCAATGTGGGAAGGCTGTGCAGGTATAAAAGAAAAGCAGCTTTGAAACACACAGCACTCCTGAGCTGCCTCACCGCAGAGCAGTGTGGCAACAGAACATAAGTAACTTCCCAGAGACGCTGGTTTTGAACACTCTAAGCAGACTCATCCTGCCACAGCCATTCGTGTCCGAACA